TGGTCCAGGGCCATGACCAGGAGAATGTTGCAATCAAAGGCAATGAGGAAGTAGATGCAGAACATCTGGACCAGGCAGCGAGCCAGGGAGATGCGGTTGAAGTGGGTGGAGAAGCTGAACAGCATGGCAGGTACCACTGTGGTGGCGGCACAGATGTTGACAGTCAGGAGGAAGGCGATGAGTGCGTACATGGGCTGATGCAGACTCCTCTGGGCGGCCACTGTGTGGATGACCAGGGCGTTGGCAGAGATGATCACCAGATAGAGGCTGAGGAAGGGCAGCACCAGGAGGGCGCGGGACTCCTGCAGCCCCGGGAAGCCCACTAGGAGGAAGCTGGTGTAGGATTCGTTAGAACTTTTGTTGCTCCACCCTGACATCTCCCCTGGGGAGCAATTTGGCTCTGGAAAGAGAAGAGCAGCAGGAAGCTTGGTTCCTGTATCTTGGCTCTTACCCTTAGCGAGGCCTGCTGGGGCTTCACCAGGCTGTACCACGTGCTTTGATGGTCATGAGTCTCCAATATCCCTATAGAAAAAATGAGTTCAGGGTCAGAACTTAATGAGATACACATCTTTCTATAAATCTTTGTGTGCGTTTCAAGTCAATTCATTGGAGTAGATTTCAGATGTGGAATTACTGGGTAAAATAATATGAACATTTTTGAGGCTACCAAATGGATTTCCAGGAGTGTTGTATTGATCTTGTCACCAAGTACTGAATTGAATTGCTATTTATTTATTGGTAATTTGATGCTTAAAATATACTATCTATTTAATTTGTATGTTCTCTTTTGTAAGTTTTCTTTTCCTTTACTTTGCCTGTTTATCAATTGTTGTCGTTGTTGTTAGGTGCTGTCGAGTTGGACCTTACTCATAGCGACCCCTCCTTGGGTTTCCAAGGCAGTATCACTGCGGAAGTAGATTGCCCCATCTTCCTTCCGAGGAGTGGCTAGTGGATTTGAACTGCCAGCCTTCTGGTTAGCAGTCAAGTGCCTTAGGCACTACGCTACCAGAGCTCCTGTTTATCAATTAGATGTAGTGTTTTTTCTAACAATTTAAATATATTATTCCTTTTTTATCCATTACCGAGATTTTTCAAAATCTTGTAAGTATTTTTATTTTGTGTATGAAGTATTTAAGACTAAAAGTTTTAAATTTATAAAATACAATTTCCCGATACTCTCCTTGTGAATTCTCTTGGTTTTAAGCTTAGCAAATTCTGTCTTATTCGGAGATCAAATAGGTAGTATGCCATATTTTGTTCTTCTTTAAAATATGGCTTAATTTATTTATATTGAGTTTTGTATTCACATGAAATTTATTTTA